GTATTTACACCCTGGAAATCAGCAAGAACCACAAATTAATGGAGTGTGAACTCATAGCTCTCCACCACCCCATCACCACCACCACCCCCGCACGGATTTGCCCCCAAACCACTGACAAAGTGGTGGTTTATCTGTTTGTTTTCGATCTTCCTGGGCGATTCGAATTGGAAGTCCGGGCTGGGAGTTCACTGCAATGGGCCCTAACGAGGACTACGTGCCCATAGGTACACACGTACGGCTCAGCAGGACCCCAGACTCAATTCTGGGAGGAAGGATGGATTCTTGCAGGAAAGAGGAAATCCTCTGGCGGGGAGGTGCTCACCGCCACCAACCTCAGGCCTTGCTCATGGGGAGTCCTAATTTAGATCAAGGCCTAGTCAAGGACGGTCTAATCTCTCTTTGTTTTTGTATTTGCTCCGTAGTTAGCTGGTTTGTTTTTATTGTTTTACTGCTGCCATGTTCTTCAGTAGCAGCCTGGTTATCGTGTTTATTGTACTTCTCTTTTTATGTTACACTGTTAGCAGGTCCTTTTGGCAAGCAGAGCTGTGGAGGCCCGGTGTGAGCTCCCGGGGCTCTGCTGGGCCTTCCTACTTCTGCAGCAGGTGGCCTGGGGGAAGCCCTTGATCTTGACTTCCAGACACTTAAGGTCTGCGGGTGGTCCTGCTTTCAAAGCGACCTCGCAGGATTTTGGCCTTGCCAGCTGAGCAAGTGTGTGAGCCTAAGAGGCTTCCAGAAAGCCTCTCAGGACCTACTCCACAGAGCCTCCAGCCCTCAGAAGCGGTGGGAAATGGGGTGGGGGCTCGGGGCACCCATCAGGGGAAGGCCAAGCACAGCACATTTCAATGGAATCCCGGGGACCAAGGGAACAAACCAGATTTATGTGTTTCAACAGAAGAACTCGCAAAATGCTCTGTGGAGTAAAAAATGCAAGTTGCCAAACCATGTGGGATACATGATGCCATCTCCATGAAAACACTCCCCCCAAAACACATTACAATAGATTTTGTGTAGGTTTATACATAAATAAAGGAACGGAAATGTCTATATTTTTTTAAATTTTAGGGCGTACATATCAAACCCATAAATAGTAACCCCTGGGGATGAGGAGACAAAGATAAGTTCTTTTTTGGTTTTTAAAGATTTCATTTATTTATGAGAGACACACAGAGAGAGGCAGAGACACAGGCAGAGGGAGAAGCAGGCTCCACGCACAGAGCCCGACGTGGGACTCGATCCCGGGACCCCGGGGTCACGCCCTGAGGAAGGCAGGTGCTCCATCGCTGAGCCACCCGGGCATCCCAGACAAGGACAAGTTCTGATAGAAAGTGATGGACAAAGAAACTTTAGGTTTAGCAGTAATGTTCTAATTTTTTTTAAGAAAATTAACTTACATATGTAATTCAGCTTATTTTTAGAAATCTAATTTCTTGTGTGTAAAGGCAAAGCATAGGGCTCGGAGTCGGAGGTTGGGGATCGAAGCCCTGCTCCACCCCATCACCCCTTGATTCCATCTGGCGACTAGGGCCATTATTAATCCCCTGCCTTTACTTACCGCTTGGGTAAATGGGCACAAAGATAAAAACAGTGATCAAGGGGGCTTCCTAAAGAACTCAGTGGCCTGGTGGAGAAAGGTATATATATCTAGTTATAATTAGCGTTTTGTTTTTAAAAACAATTTTGAGTCTTTACAAAGATGGTCTCAAAATAAAATCCAAGGTCTCTCCCCAAGGACGGAGAAAATAGAGCTATTATAAAGGAGCCACGGTGAGTTTCTTAAGAATAGGTCATGTCGGACTAACATTACTTCCTTTGTTCACAGAAGGGGAGAGAAAGAAGCAAAGATTTATGCTGCTTTGTGCCCCAGGCTGTGTGCCGGGTGTACTCAGAGTTCACAACACCCGGAGAGGCAGGTTTCTCATTTTACAGATGCGGAAGCCTGAAAAGGGTTTAGCCGAGTCAAGGAACGTGCCTCAGGGGACACGGAAGATCTGGATTCAGATCTAGGTTCACCTGGATCCCAAGCAGCTACCCGGAGTAGCAGCAGCAGCAGCAGCAGGAACCATGGTAATAGCCACTTCTATCCTGGGATGTCATTTAATCCTCCTATAGGCATGGGAAGTTTTATCACTCGCTTTTTACAGGTGAAGAAAAGGGGATGCAAGGGAGGTTGAGTGAGCTAGCCCCAAGTCACAGGTCTGTCTCATTCCTAAGCCCAAGCTCTGAACCATGCCAGTCTGTGGCCTCCCTCCTCCAACTACCCCCAGTCCAGGAGATCCTGGCCTCCCCCAGGGGAACAGTCTGTCAGAATCTTGGAAAGGTGGAAAGGGACAGAGCAACCACATATACCACTCCAACCTGGGTGAGTATATCAGGGTGGCAGCTTATGGGGGTGCATGGACTCCCATGGCCATCTGGATAGAGCTGGGAGGTCAAGAAGGAGATATAAGAGATGAAGTCTGATACCACTTGTGTAGTAGATTGAATTGTGTCCCCCAAAAAGATACATTGGAAGTCCTCACCCCTGGTACCTGTAAATGTGACCTTATTTGGAAATAGGGTCTTTGTAGATGTAATCTAATTAGAACAAACTCGTAGTGGAACAGGGCAAGCGCTAAGCCTGATGACCAGTAGCCATATAAGAGGGAAATCTGGACACAGAAACACATGGAAGACACACACCGAGGGAAGAACACTGTAAAGATGGAGGCAGAAATGGAGGGATGCAAGCTAAGCCAAGGAATGTCAAGAATTGCTGACAATCTACATGGACTATAGGAAATAATAAAGGAGATTATAAGGGAAAGAAGGGGAACTGAGTGGGAAAAATTAGAGAAGGAGACAAACCATGAGAGACTCCTGACTCTGGGAAACGAACACAGGGTTGCAGAAGGGGAGGAGGGCGGGGGTTTGGGGTAACTGGGTAATGGACAAGGAGGAGGGCACTTGATGGGATGAGCCCTGGGTGTCATACTATATGTTGGCAAATTGAACTTCAATAAAAACAAATGAGTAAAGAAAAAAAAAAAGAATTGCTGGCAATCAAGAAAAACTAGGAAGAGGCAAGGAAGGATTCTTCTCTAGAGTCTTTGGAGGGGATGTGGCCCTAGTGACACCTTAACTTAGGATCTCTGGCCTCCAGAACTGTGAGAGAGTGAGTTTCTGTTGTTTCAAACCACTCAGTTTGTGGTAATGTGTTCTGGTAGCCCTGGGAAACTAAAACAACTGGGTTGCTCCATAGCTGATTGCACAATCACAAGATATCATGTGGACTTGGGTAGTAGGACAGAGGGCTTCATCCTTGACCCTAATTTATCCTATTGTTCTCTTGGATGAAAATCAGGAGTATGTCTACCAATCAAATAGGTAGGTTATACAAAACCTGGAGAGATGCTTAGCACCGAAGATAGGATCTATATTCAAAAACACCTGAAGAAACTGCAATAATGGGCCAAATTTTATAAGTTGAAGTTTAACAAAGACAAATTCCTTTATTTAGTTGGTTCAAAGAACCAACTGCATGAATGCAGAATGAGGAAGCTCTGGCTTAATGGCAGCTCATATATGTTGGCCAAAGATGAGTATGAGCCAACAAGTCATTGCAGTCGCTATAAAAGCTAATGCCCCTTTAAGATGCTCCATTGACCAGGAGAAATGAGAGGAGCAATCCACTGGTCAGGCCACATCTGGAGCTTCATTCAACTCTGGGTACCACACTTTAGTGTTTGGCGCTACTCAGCATCCAGGGTAAGGGAGCCAGGAAGGTGAGGAGCCTAGAAACAGTCGTGCAAGGAAGATCAGGGGATCTAGGCTTGTTTCCCTGGAGACAAGATGTGGGGACATGGGACATGTCTTGAAATACTGAATGGCTCTTGTGACGTAAAGGGACCCAGGCCAGTTATATAGTATTCAGAGAGGGGGTTCCTAACTAGCCGCTCCTCGCTGATGATGGCAAGCAGCAGTCTCGGGCTTCAGGCTAGGACACAGCTACTGGTCTTGCAGCGTTTATCCTCTCTTTTTCTAGTAACAGCACCCAGAATTCCTTTACAAGACCATTTCCGCCTCACTTTGTCCATGGTTCCAGGGGTGGGCACATGAGTCAGGCTTACCCAATCATTGTGCTCTATCTCTTCAGCCATAGTAATCTGTTCAGGGATGGGCATGGGACCCAAGCCAGATCAGTTAGTGTCTATACCAGGCACAGATGCTCTCCTTCCCCTAGGATCACAAAGCTGGCAGGATAGAAGCCCAGATAGCTGGGGTGTGAGACCAACTTGCCAAGGTGTGAGAAGAGCCCACTTGAGAATGAAGTCAACACAGGAAATAGAGCCAAGAAATGGAGACAGAAAGATCTCTGCTGGTGCCATGTGAACACCTGGATCCAACCATGACTGCGGCTTGTTTGTGACGCAACGCAATGCAATCCTCGTTTATGCACTCACCAGCTTGAGCTGAGGCTCCGTCATCTGCAGTCAAGTGTCCTAACACATCATATCCACCTGTGAGTATGGCAAGGCGTCTGATGAAGATGTCATGCCGAGGGAATAGTAATGGTCGACACTGATTGAGCATCTTCTGTATGTAGAAATTGTGGTAGACTTCTATTTTTTTTTAATTTTTAAAAAGACTTTATTTATTCACTTGACAGAGAGCGAGAACAAGCAAGCATGAGTGGGGGAGAGGGAGAAGGAGAAGCAGACTCCCTGCTGAGCAGCAATGCAGGGGCTCTGTCCCAGGACTCTGTCCCAGGATCATGACCTGAGCCGAAGGCAGACGATTAACCATCTGAGCCACCCAGGTGCCCCAGTAGACATTTATTTTAAGTTAAATTTTTAAAAGTAGGGATCCCTGGATGGCTCAGCGGTTTGGTGCCTGCCTTCTGCCCGGGGTGTGATCCTGAGTCCCGGGATCGAGTCCCACGTCGGGCTCCCGGTGCATGGAGCCTGCTTCTCCCTCTGCCTGTGTCTCTGCCTCTCTCTCTCTCTGTATGTGTCTCTCATGGATAAATAAAATCTTTAAAAAATAAAAAAAATAATAAATTTTTAAAAGTATACTTGCATGTAGTTTGATGAGTTAAATAGTTCTGTAAGACTTGTTATGAAAAACAATGATCCCCCAAAAAAACCCAAAAAAACAATGATCTCTTGCCACTCAGACCCCGTTTCCAACTCCTCAGAGGCAACCACTTTCCACTTTTCCAGCTAATTCTTTGTCTATGGACTTCTCACTATGGAAGATGAGGGTTTAGCTCATTTTCCCCTCCCTGTCCCCACTGCACAACACACGTCCCATCCCCGCTTACTCCTAATTTAGTTATGTCGTAATTTTCTTTAGATCGACATTCACTGTTAATGTTTTTGTCTTTGTAAACTCTATTCACGGCCTCCGTAGTATACTACGATCACTGTTTCCTGTACAACACACTGTTTTTGCTGGAGTTAATAATCACTTTACTTTTCTCATTTGCTGAGTATTCCATGTACCTGTTAATAATTCAACCCTGACCACCCCCGTTTGTGTACAGGTCTCTAGTCAATGTGCTCATTACACCAGCTGCTCTCAAGGTTGCGTCGTGCTGGACGGACCCGTCCCTTGGTCGGCCTTCTGACCCACTCCCATCTGGACTAGTTCCCTTCCAGGCCTTGGCCACAGCTGCCGCCTTGGGCTCTTCCCTCATCAACTGCTAGACAGTCCCTTTGCTCCTCATTTTATTGGCTTCCGGCTGAGTCCCAGTCCTTCTTCTTTCTCAGTTTACAATCTTGTTTCGGCAGAGCACACCCTGAGTGGCTTCCTGAGACAGTGGCTAGGTGCGCAGAAGGCAAATTTTTGAGATCTTTCCTGAAAATGTTTCATGTTCCCACTTAATTGCTGCGGGTCAGACATCGCTGTCCTCAGAATTTGGAAGGTCCGGTTCCATCGTACTCTAACTTCCAGGGTCACTGCTGAGAAAGCTGATGCCATTCTGATTCGGGAGCCCTTCTCACGCAACCTTGATGTCACTGATTTTTAAAAAAATTGTTTTCATCCTCGAAACTCGTCTTCTCGTTGTCCCCAGTGAGCGGCCCTAGCAGCTCCAAGGATGAGCAGGTGGGTCCCTGGGGGGGTCGAGGCCCGCGGGGAGGATGTGTCGGGGTTGCCCGCCGCTGTGTAGTAAACTTCCCCGGAGGTTAAAGGCCTGAACAACAGTCATTTGCAGGGGCAGTTCCCAGGGGTCCGGGACCTGGGCACAGCTGGGCCGGGGGCCGCCCGCCCGCCGCCCGCAGCAACACGGAGCCAGCACCCCGGGCACGCACCCCACGAGGGCTGTGCTTCCAGGTGACTCAGCGGCGGCCGCCCTCGAGCGCCCCGACTGCGGCCTGGAGACCTCTGCCCGCAGCACGAGGGCCCTCCCGGCCTAGGCCCCTGGCGGCGGCCTCCCCGAACGAGGGCGACCTACCCGAAGCCACATACAGTCTGGGAGGTGACAGCCCTTCACCTTGCCAGGCCCTGTGGTGACAAGGGTTCCGAGGCCCGGCTGCCTCAGGGCGAGGGCATTGCCGGACAGACGCCAAGGGGCAGGGGCTCGGCGGCCCGCACCCAGAGCCGCCTCCCAGGCCGGGCAGCTGGTGACCAGCTGAGCTGGGCCCTGGGTGAGGCGAGGGCGGCGGCCGCAGGAGCTCCGCAGGGGACAGGCTGCCCCCGCCCCGCGACGCCAGGCAGGAAGGGCTTCCGGGAGCAGCAGCTGTGGACGGACACCCCACAGAGGAGTGGGCCGTAGCCCAGGTGCACCCGGAGGGGAGAGCATCCCGGGCCGCGGGAAGATGCCGAACGCCAGGTGTGGGAAGCATCGCAGTGGGTTCTGGAAGCTACCCAGCAGAGCCCGAGCAGGGTGAGCACAGGACCCGGTGGGGGGGGGACTGCTCCTGAAGGGCCTGCCCGCGCCCCGGGGAGCTGGTGCGTATCCTGGGGCTCTGGGGGGTGCTATCCTGGGACTCCGGGGGGGTGCTATCCTGGGGCTCCGGGGGGGTGCTAACCTGGGGCTCTGGGGGGTGCTATCCTGGGGCTCTGGGGGTGCTATCCTGGGACTCCGGGGGTGCTATCCTGGGGCTCTGGGGGGTGCGCATCCTGGAGCTCTGCAGAGTGCTATCCTGGGGCTCCAGGGGCTGGGCCTGGCTTCCGAGAGAGCCAGGCGAGCAGACTGGTGCTTTAGCAGCCCCTCGTCCAGGGGAGGCCAGGCCCGTGGGGGGCCTGATGTGAGTGAGGGGCCTCCAGGCCTGTTGGAGGCTGGCCTCCCTTTGCGGGGGAGTGGGGGGGAGCCAGTAGCAATGGGAGCCTGGGGGGAAGGTCAGGGTGGGGATGGCCACCACCCCTTTGGGTCCCGGTTTGGCCGCAGGAGGCCCTGTGGTGCGTCCTCCAGGCCTCTGGATGCCCCCCCGTTGTGGGAGCCCCCCGGCTCAGCTCCAGAGCCCGTAGAACCCTCCAGGGCTTTCTCAAATCCTCCCTCAGTCCCACTCCACGGTCAGACTCACCCCGCCCTCCTGAGGCCTGTGAAAGACCTTGAGGCCTTGACCTAACCTCACTCATCTGCCAGCAGCCTCGTCGCCTTCTCCTCTACGTGACCGCGGGCAAGTGCGTCACTCCTCAGTCACTTCTCCGAGGGGACGGGTTGGGGCTGCGGCGGCGGCTCCCCGGGTCCTGCGCCGGCCACCCTGAGGGCTGTGAGCCCCCGACCCCCGGGCCCTTCTCAGGCCTGCCCTGCGGAGCTGCAGGGGCTGCAGGGAGCTTGGCCCCCCCTCTGAAGCCTGCAGACCTTTTTTTGGAATTTGGTCTCTCCCAGGCCAGCACTCGGATCCTAGGATCTGGGTGTCCCGCCTGGATCCACCCGAACCCCAGGAGCCGCAGGGGGCCGGTCCTCCGGAGGGCACCCACCCCTGCTCTGGGCGTGCATCACAGGGGATCCTTAATCGGCACAGAAGCCTCCGTGCAACAGTTTGCCCAGCTCAGTGGTGACGCTCCTTCTTCGGTCTCCCCCGCATCCTCCAGGAAGCTGTAGACCAGAACAAGCTTCATTCTCGGGGCTCCTGGGTACAAGACTCACCTGGGTTTGTCCCACTTAACTTTCCTGCTCCGGCAGCGGGGGCTCAGGTCTCCAGGTGGGAAGGGGACCCCTTCCTTCCACCTCCTGCCCCTCAGACGAGGTCCGGCCCACCCCCAGAAGGGCTGAGGGCATTATGTAACCAGTCTTGACCAGACATTCTGGTTCCACAGGTACAGCCTGCAAGTTAAAAATTGTTCTAAAAATGCAGTGCGGCTGCCTAAACACACAGTCCTGGAGGAGGAGGAGGAGGAGGCCGGGGGCAGAGGCCGCGGTCAGTAGAAGGATGAAGGATGTGTTCTCCGTGGGGACTTTTGCCCCAAGCACTTTGACCCCAAGAGAACCCTCAGACTTGGGCGCCAGTGGCACATGCCTGCCACCTACAAATAGGTCGTGTGGCCTCGCCCCCTCCAGCTCCCCGCCCCTTCGTAATCCTACAAGCTCCCCACCCACCTCTGCCTGAATTGGGGTCTTGCTTTTCTGGGGTGTTTTTTTTTTTTTTTTTGAAAGTGTCCATACTTTGAGGCTCCTCTAACCTTCCTCTACTTCTTCTCTGGTCCCTTATTTGTTTTCTTCTTTTTCCGCCTTGCCTCTGCTCCCCTCTACGCACCAAGTAATGGGGAGGGGAATTCCTCTGTCCCCTCCTTAGGCTCTGGCCCTCTCCCTGAGCCTCGGGTCCTCCATCTGTGACCTTGGGGGAAGTTCCTCCATCTCTCAGCTGCTGTGCAACAGGAACCATCCATTGTCTTCTCTGCCTCATGAGATGGTTGTGAAAATCCAAAGAGGTGACACTGACTCCTGTACACATGTACATGGACTTTTTTAAAAAAGATTTTATTTATTCATGAGAGACAGAGAGAGAGAGGCAGAGACACAGGCAGAGGGAGAAGCAGGCTCCACGCAGGGAGCCCGACGTGGGACTTGATCCCAGGACCCCAGGATCATGCCTGAGACAAAGGCAGATGCTCAACCACTGAGCCACCCAGGTGCTCTAGTACATGGACTTTAAAACTTGCATTCTTTGGTTCATTTGTTACATATTTATTAAGCACTTACAATTTGCCAGGCACAGTGGTACGTTCTGGGGCATGTAATGAGGAATGAAAGACACCAGTGGGTGACGGCATCAGAATTACATGGAGGGCTTCAAAAAAGAGCCTCCCAACCTCCACGCAGACCTACAGAGGCAGGCTCTACAAGAGGGGGCCAGGGAGGGAGGGTGGGGGCCTGCCCCCCACCCCGCCCCCCTGGGCCTGGAAACCAGTGTGTCAGGAGGGAAGAAGCAGAGAGAGCCGAGGATGGAGAGCACTTTGGAAAGGAAGACTCCGCTCCCCAAGGTGGGGAAGAAGGCGAAGGAAGTTGGCTCAAGGGGGAAACAAGAGGGCCCTTTCACCTGCCTCTTGACTAGGTCTGCCCACGTACCTGTCTCCAGGCTGCCTAGCGACTGATAACCTGGGACAGAGTCTTTCAAAAAGTAAGGAAAAGAACCACAAAGGAAACACAGTAGCTCTAATCATTTCTTCATAACAGGTGGCTTTCTCCCCTCAGCTGGGATATTTCATAGGGGCTTTCGCTCATGGATCAGCCTTTCCCTATTTGTTTTGTCTAGAGAGTCCATTCTTCTTCTTTTTTTTAAAGATATTATTTTGGGATCCCTGGGTGGCGCAGCGGTTTAGTGCCTGCCTTTGGCCCAGGGCGCGATCCTGGAGACCCGGGATCGAATCCCACATCGGGCTCCCGGTGCATGGAGCCTGCTTCTCCCTCTGCCTGTGTTTCTGCCTCTCTCTCTCTCTCTCTCTCTCTCTCTCTGTGACTATCATAAATTAAAAAAAAAAAAGATCTTATTTTTTTTCAAGATTTATGTATTTATTTTGAGAGAGACGGGGGTGGGGGGAAGAGGGAGAGAATCTCAAGCAGACTCCCTGCTGAGCACCCACGACCCATGAAATCATGAACTGAGCCAAAACCAAGAGTCAGAGGCTTAACCAAGTGAGCCACCCAGGCACCCCAAGATCTTATTTTTAAATATTTTCTTTTTTTTTAATTTTTATTTATTTATGATAGTCACAGAGAGAGAGAGAGAGAGGCAGAGACACAGGCAGAGGGAGAAGCAGGCTCCATGCACCGGGAGCCCGATGTGGGATTCGATCCCGGGTCTCCAGGATCGTGCCCTGGGCCAAAGGCAGGCGCCAAACCGCTGCACCACTGAGGGATCCCCCCAAGATCTTATTTTTAAGCGATCTCTATACCCAATATGGGGCCCAAACTTACAGCCCCAAGATCAAGTCATGTGCTCCTCCAGTTGAGCCAGCCAGGCACCCCGAGAGTCCTTCTAAAAGGAGGCATATGTTTTCCACTTTGCTCTTGGTGTACGCATAAGTAAAAACAGTAAGATGTGTTTGTTTCTTTAAATATCAGTGATATTTATGCTGATGTTGATGAAGCAGTTATTAAGTCTTACTGCCTGGAAATTTATGCCCATTAAGAAATGAGCAGAGGAGCACCTGGGTGGCTCAGTCGGTTCAGGGCCTGCCTTTGGCTCAGGGCGTGATCTCAGGGTCCTGGGATCGAGCCCTTCATGTGGCTTCCTGCTCAGTGGGGAGTCTGCTTCTTCTCCTCCTCCCTCTGTTCTCTCTCTCTCTCTCTCTCTCTCTCTCTCTCTGTCTCACTCAAATAAATAAATAATCTTTAAAAAAAAAAAAGAAGAAAAGAAATGAGGAGAGAGATCCTTGGCTGGCTGGGTCGGTAGAGTATCTGACTCTTGATCGCGGAGTCATGAGTTCGAGCCCCATGCTAGGCACTTAAAAAATAAAATGAGCAGGAAAAAAAAAGACAAAAACCTAACATCTCCAACCTCGATAGTTTTTGTCCAAATTTTCTTTAGAAGAGTCCTTTAGGAATGATGACCTGATGTTCAGCAACGCCGTCATTCTACCACAGTATCTTTTTTCTTTCTGTTAAATTTAAGTTGAAATGAATATCTGTAATTTTGAAATGTTATCAGTGATTTTTTTGTGTTCCAGTTATTTGGGTAGCCAGTCACTATTGACTGGAAGAGCAGTGAATGAAACAGAAGTTCGGGGATCCCTGGGTGGCGCAGCGGTTTGGCGCCTGCCTTTGGCCCAGGGCGCGATCCTGGAGACCCGGGATCGAATCCCACATCGGGCTTCTGGTGCATGGAGCCTGCTTCTCCCTCTGCCTGTGTCTCTGCCTCTCTCTCTCTCTGTGACTATCATAAATAAATAAAAATTAAAAAAAAAAACAAAAGAATATACTTTAAAAAAAAAAAGAAAAAAAAAAAGAAACAGAAGTTCTGATGGAGTCTACACTCCAGCTGGAGACGGGTCACAAGCCCAATTCACCAGATGACACAGACCATGGTTAGTATGGGAGATAGTAATAAAATGCCATGAAGGGAAAACAAAAATTGGGGATGAAAAGGACGAGATGAGAGTCACTTAGATGGGGAGGGAATTTTAGGTAGGGGAGCCTGCAAGAACCCCCCAAAGATGTTTTTAGACTTTTCATCCCAGAAGATTTCAAAGATATGCAAAGGCAGAGAGAACAATGAAATGAGTTCCTATACATCACCTGGTTTCAACAATATTGACATTGTGCCAATTTAGTTTATCCAATTTTCTCCATCTTTTGTTTGTTTGGTCCTGGGGTTTTTAAAAGCAAATCTGAGATTTCACATGCATTTTCCTGTAAATGCTCCAGTAAGCATCTTAATTGTTAAGCTTATTTTTAAAATTACACATTTACTTGCTGTTACGTGCCCCCCCTTAACAACAGTGCCTTCACATCATCTTACAACCAGCCCATACTCTTATTCCCCAACTGACTCAGAAATATATTCTACATTTGGTTTTGAAACAGGATAACAAAAGTTAATTCTAAGTGAAGACATTCACTTTAATACTCTATTTTCCTCACTCTCCTCTGTATTTCCCAGGATTTAGCACAGAGTAAATGCTCCATGAATGTTTACTGTTCACTGAATCATCTGAATGAATGAAAGCGTTGTAGGCCTCATGATAGACACTTGCAGAGCTGAGCAGAGCGGGGAACCAAGGGGATCATTTCAGGAGGAGAAGAGAGCAGAGAAGTCAAGAAGTCGCATGTGGGACAGTTTGAGAAAGGGAAGGGGATGTGCTTCTTTGGCCAAAGATCACACTGTCAACACCCTTCAAACCCAGAAGAGATGTGACTAGGACAACGGACCAATAACCAGAGGGTTTAGAGGCAGAGATCCTGGCCTTAGCCCTGACTCTGAAGAGAAACCAGGCCGAGAGGGCCTGACAGGGAGCCCCTGAGCCCATAGAGGCAAACACCCTGTTTTAAAGAGGCATGCCAAAGAGATTGTGTATGCTTCAGACCAGCAGTTTATCTCCTATAATTTGGCCTAAGCAAATAATGACAAGTGAGAGCAAAGGTGAGTCCAAGGATTTTCATTACAGCATTGTTGATAAGGCCAAAAGCCGCAAAAAGCCTGCACAGCCGCAGGGGGATGGTTCCTAAGGCCTGAGTCACATGATGAAATGGTATGTAGTCCTTAAACGGCATGTGGAGACCTGCGTACTTACAGATTTGAAAAGGTGCTCGAGATACATATTGCACGAAAAGCCACATTTCCAAGCAGTGTGTTTGATGACATTTCATTTTGACTGTTTTATATCTAAGTATGAGACAAAAAATATATTGGTTAGCTCTGGTTGGTGGGCCTACAGATGATTTGTGTGTGTCTCTCTCTCTCTCTCTCTCTCTTTTTTTTTTTTTTTTTTGCTTATTTTTGAAAAATTTCCTGCAATAAATATAGCTGGTGCAGATAATAAACATGAAAAGAAAATCAGAATAAATAAGATCTACACTGTCCTCTAGGGATGGAGGTTAGTAGTGTGATCCGACAGGTGTAAATTGACTAAAGGGAAAAGCACTTGGGATTCCCAGGGAGCAATATTCCTAGGGGAGAAACCTCGGGCCCCAGGGATCCTCAGGGGGAACAGGGAACCCTCCTCAAACAGAGCAGGTGTTGAAACCCAGTCAACTAGCGCTAATCAGCTCCATTACCCTCAGCTCAAGGCATAGCCTGCCAGGTGTGGGGATAATGGGATTAAAAAAGCAAGATTGGTTCTAGGGCCACAGGTGGTGTCCGCAGGCACCAGCTCCGCGCCAGGCCTCCAGGCAAGTGCCAGCCCTTCCAGGCACTGGGGTATCTGACCCTTGTACTGAGGGCCTGGCTGGTTCCTGCGACTCGATCTCAGGGTCGTGAGTGCAAGCACCACGTTGGGTGTAGAGATTGCTAAGAAATAAATAAATGTATGGGTGCCTGGGTGGCTCAGGTGGTTGGATGTCTGCTTTCAGCTCAGGTCATGACTTCGGGGTCCTGGGATGGAATTCCACTTTGGGTTCCCCGCTCAGCGGGGAGGCTGCTTCTCCCTCTCATTCTCCCTCCGTGCTCTCCCCCCCTCTTTCTCAAATAAATCTTTATTAATAAATAAATCTTTAAATAAATTTAAAGAAAGAAATGTAAAATAAATTTTTTCTGTCTTAAAAAATATATATATATAACTAAAAATGTATACCGAGGAAGAAAAACGTGATTGATAAACCTGAACCCCTAAGATATTTTTTTTTAGTTAATTTTCCTTCTATACCGCAGCTCATATACATGGGCATATTGGCATCCCCCGTGGCCTGCCCATGGGATCCTGATCTCTTCGTTTACCGTCAAGAGCGCAGATTCCCCAGTTTCCAGGGAAAGGCCTCCTGGCCCCACTCCTTGGGCCCGGCTCCCCAGGCAGGGCTTGGACCCGCCCTGAGGACTGCGGCCTGCAGTGTAGATCCTGAAAACCCTCAAGGAACAAGACTCTCAACCGTGGACTGAATGCTCAGGAAACAACGCGTGGAGAAGAAAGGCACAGAGTTGAGATTAAGACCATAAAATTCCCTGTAATCATGTTTTCTTGTTTGTTAATGATTAATTAATTATCATTATATATAATAATTGATATTATTAATAACCGAGGCAGCACCCTCCACAAAGGGACGCCGTGACCACCTTCGTGGGGGCGCATCCTTCACTCACACAGCAGGTCCTGCGGGCTCCTCCTCGCAGCTGCCGAGAGACCATCGTGATTCTGCGTGGCTTTGCTGCTGGTGACCCGCAGGAAGGTCAGAGGTGTCCCTCTCACACAGCTCAGCCTGCTGCTCATTCTCTGACTTGGGAACAGGGTCCCCGGCTTGAGCACTGGGCCATTTGTGGGCCTCGCTCACATTGTGAGACCCTGGAGAGTCTCCGTGTCTGTCCTCCCCGTCCAGGATGGCAGAGCATGCAGGCTGACACAGAGCCCTCGATGGGCCCCACCTGGCGACCTACCCACTAAGCCCACTAAGCTAGCCTGAGGCCAGGGCCCACCTTCCTCAGCTTCCCTTACTTCCCCCAAGGCTACACTATGCAAAACATAAAATGTTTACTCCAATTCAGCCATTTGCCTCTGGTTTTGTTTTGTTTTAAAAGAAGTTATTTATTTATTCATGAGAGACACAGAGAGAGGGAGAGGCAGAGACACAGGCAGAGGGAGGAGCAGGCTCCCTGCAGGGAGCCCAACGTGGGACTCCATCCCGGACCCCCTGGGACCCCAGGATCACGCCCTGAGCCAAAGGCACACACTCATCTGCTGGGCCCCCAGGCGTCCCTTGCCTCTGGTTTATCACAATCCGCAAACTCCTTTCTAACTGGCTGCCGGCAACACACTCCATGGAGGTGCAAATTCTTTCACAAGTTGTTCTGATCAAAAACCTGAGGGTGGTTTCCTACTTCACTCAAAGTTAAGTCCTTTCCTTACAAGGGCATCTTCTGCTCCCCCGGCTCTGGCTCCGCAGGTTCCTCTAATAAAAGCATCCGGCAGGCTTCTGCCTCGGGGCCTTGGCCTGGCGGCCTCCTCCAGCTGGAAGGCTCTGCCCTCAGCTGCCCGTCTGGCCACGTCAAGCCTTTGCTCAAACGTCCGCTTCTCAGTGAGGCCCACTTTGTGCCCATGTGTGGCAGTGCAGCTGCTTCCCTCCAGCACCCCCATGCTGCCCTGTGCGCCTCCTTCTATTGCTCTCTCGCCTTCCAACAATCTACATAACGAGCTCGTTTATTACATCTGGTTTTTACCGTCCAGATGCCCCCCCCCCCGGGTGGGCAGGGACCTCGTCCCTCTTGTTCACTGATAGGTCTGAGTGTCTACGGCTCGGAGCAGGATAAGGTAAGGACCGACCTGAACAGGGGGTGCTTAGGGAGGAAGTTCCTGCGGGGAAGAGCGGGTGCACCTTTATGTGGGGCCAGAGGCAGAAGGAGGGAGGAAACTGCACACGGCCTGAGCTTCCAGTTTTGGGACCTGGAGCTCGTTCCCTGCCTGCTGTGCAGGGACAAGTGTCCGGAGGCGTCGGAGGGGACCAGGTGGTGTGCCCGCCCCACCCTAGCCCCGTCTGCGGCCCGTTAGGCCGGATCTCGGGGGACTTCCCGGACCGCCACCCAGCCCCCCCCCCCCCCCCCCCCCCCGCGCGGTTCTCTCTTGCTCATCCTTCTCTTGCTGAGCCCGGCTGGGCGGCCGCGTCTTAACCTGGAAGAAATGGGGTGAATTCAATGATGCCGTGAAAGTTCCCGAGACAGCTGGCACGTGGCGGGGAGAGCAAATGTTTTGTGGACCGAGGATGTGGGTTCGGGTCCCGCCTCTGCCGATTCCTCGCTGAGCCCTAACTTTGGAAACTTTTCTGCGCCAGAAGGATCCCCCAGGTTCCCCCCAGAACCGTGGGTGCGCTACACTGTCTGGCAAGGTGACTTCCCTCGGGGGATTCGGGTTTACAGGCGAGATGGGGAAATTGTCCTGGGTCATCAGGGTGGCCCTGATCTAATCACACGGCCCAGGGGCAGAGGATGTCCTGTGGCCAAGGGAAGAAGGCAGATGAGGCCCGAGGGGAGGGCGGGGAGCTTTGAAACCTAAAGGGAGCTCGGCCACCAAGGCTGCAGGCGGCTGGAGGAGGGGAGCTGCAAGGGGGGGGGGCAGCCCTTGGGGCCAGGCCTCCTGCCACCTAGCTGGACTTGGACGCAGATTCAGCTTCGAAATCTCCAGAAAGGAGCCCAGCCCTGCCACAGCTGACTTTGGTGTTGCGAAGCAGAGCAGGGGGTCAGCTGGTGCAGGCTGCGGCCTGTCCTGCCGTCTGCCCGGGGCGGGAGATAACGCTCGTGGGCCGAGCCGGTAACCTTGTGCTGCCCTGGGACGGAAACAACAGGAAGGGAGTGGTCGCAGTGAGCCTTGATTTTCTCAGCTATGGACCAGGGACCGGGATTATACTGTGCACGTGGCCGACCCGCTCCGGAGGTGCCGGGTGGCCTGGAGGGCTCCCTGGACAGGGCTGCCGGCTCCCCCAGCACTACTCTACCCCGCAGGAATCCCCGCCACCCTCAGCCTGGAGAGACGGGGAGCGCACCAGCTTCTCGGTGGGGACCAGACCTAGCTAGGTCTAGGAACAGGGGGGAAGCCCGGGGGGGGGGGGGGGGCTGAGCCGCCGAGCGGCTGCCTTCAGGTCAGGTCGTGACCCCAGGGTCCCAGGATCGAGTCCCGGGTCGGGCTCCCCGCATGGAGCCTGTGTCTCCCTCTGCCTGTCTCTCTGCTTCTCTCTTTCTCTCTGTGTCTCCCATGAATAAATAAATTAGTTAATTAAAAAAAATAAAAGTCACACAAGGCATCCAACTAGCTACACAAAAAAGTAAGCTCAAGTGCCAAACAGCCGCGCGTACCTCCACCCACCACTGGCCCTACCCCCAACACCAGCGGGCAGCTTTTAGGTTTTAGACAGGGGTCATGCCATCCTGTTTACTCTGGGCCAGAGGGACTTATCACAGAGCTAACCACGCTCTCCCAAGACAAAATAAAAACAACCACACTTCCAGATATTCATTGATTTATTTATTATTTATACCACACCTACTTCCAAAACCTAGGTGAGGTGGCTCACAGCAAAGGCCACACGTACAACAGAGCTATTCACAAGGGAATAAATGGCCTGTCAAAACCTTTCAAGATTTTCAGACTGTGGGAGTGTTTTTTTGTTTTGTTTTTTTTTAAGGACAGAAGAGGTCTGTGAGCTGAGGTACTTGAAAGGTCAGGCCTTGAGGGTAGATATTTAGGTGCGCCTGGTCGGGTTGAGTAGTTAAACCTGGAGCATCTGATGGAGTGCAGGGAGCAGGGGTAGGAGACAACAGCCATCATCAGCGGAGGACTCAAGGGGACATTTTATGCTCTCGGATGCGAGGCGTGCTGATGCGACGCTTGGAGCTACAGGCACTATCTTTTGGCCATGAGGCAAGTCACGCCCAACATGCTGAGGATGGCAGGAGGGAAGGAGCCTAGGTCCTTGAGGACAGAGTGGAGTCCCTGAACCAACCCTGGAGAGTCACCATCTCCGCCATCAGCCGATGAAATGTTTCTCTTGTTTAAGCCATCATGTTCTTTTAAAAATATATATATATATGTATTTATTCATGAGAGACATAGGAGAGAGAGAGAGGCAGAGACACAGGCAGAGGGAGAAGCAGGCTCCATGCAGGGAGCCCGACGTGGGACTCGATCCCAGGTCTCCAGGATCGCACCCAAGCCTTGAAAGCAGCGCAGACCTGCTGAGCCGCCCCGGATGCCCTAAGCCATTATGTCTGCTCCTTGCAGCTGGGTGCCTACACACGGACTAAATGAAAGCACCTCGTGGTGGGCCGCGGAAGATACAGTGAAGCACAAAGGTGGATGACTTGTTTTACCCAAATGGATCACAACCAGCTTCTTAGAAAACACCGTTGAGGAGGGTCTTGAAGGATGAGTAGGAGTTTACTAGGCAGGCAGGGGAAGGCAGGGCATGGCAGGCAGAGGGTAGCACGTGTAAATGGCATGGAGGCAGGAAGGAAGGTGCAGGCCAGAGGCGTCACTGAGAGGGCTGGGATGTGAGAAGGCATCTGGAGGACTGTGAGCCAGGGTAAGTGCGGACTTGTGGAGCAGGCAATAGGGAGCCAGTGTGGGCACCTGAGCCAGGCCTAGCCAAATATCCACAAGGAAGGGTGAGTGCTGAGGAGTCAAAGGGACCCAGACTGCGGAGAGGGAGCCAGATGCAGTACCAAGAATTTTTTTACCAAAGAATTATTCACCTTTGTTTTGGGCCTTCTCTGGGGACTGCTTGTTTGGTAGGAACCGGTCATCCCATTGGTGAGAACAGTCAGTCACACCAGCAACTCCTGGGAAAAACCTTATAAAGGTCAGGAACTCTCAAAACAAATGTGCCAGCTTTGCACACTGATGGTAACAGCTGATGAGGTTTATCTGAGGCATGATTATTGCTAATT